ATTCCTTCTTAAGGGGTTGGAGCTGGGGGAGATGGGGTTGGTCTATACCCCATGAGCAAAAAATTAGTAAGGCCAGGTCTACAGGAGGAAGGCAGGTTTGGGCCGTGTGGACCAGGCAGCTTCAAGGCTCACAGCAGCCCTTTACAGAGCATCGTGGAAGCAGGCAACTGTGTATAAAACCCAAGAGATACAGGGGGTGCCTGGGTGGCTCAGTCGTTAAACAACTGCCTTCGGCTCAGGTCATGATCCAAGTATCCTGGGTTCGAGCCCCGTGTTGGGCTCCCTCTTCAGCAGGAAGCCTGCTTCTCCATCTCCAGCTCTCCCTGCTTGTGTTCCCTCTCTCGCTATCTCTCTCTCTCTGTAATAAGTAAATAAAATCTTAAAACAAGAAAATCAAAGAGATACAGAAATGCAAGCCTTATCCTGGGGTCAGTCAAAAAAGTAACCTAGTGTTTGTGTGATTGCTAAAGAGCCAGCTACAATTTGGGGGGAAAATATGTAAACTTAATTTAGAATTCAGTACGAAATTCACCTATAACCACATTCCCAGAATTGGGCACTAATAATTGTTGGATTTCCTTCCAGAGTTTGTATTTTACACCTCGCTTTATTATGTTAATACACATGGGATCTTAGGACCCAGGATTCAGCAGTTCATTGATTTCCCTTGAGAGATCTTACCCATGTTACTGTGTCTCCACGAATGAAGACCCTCTCCGCATAGGCAGTATATGGTCCAGCCAACAGAATTCATGCAGCATATCTTTTATTCATGAACGCCCAGATTGCTGTCATCCCTTATTTTCAAAATTACGATCAATAAGTATTGATCTTTTGGTGCATGGCTACTTCTGGACAATCAAATCAAGATGTATTTATTTTAATAGAAATAGACCTTCAGGATCAAAGGGTCTTAGGGTTATCTTCATGGTATGGGCATGAGTTGGAAGCAGCCAGGATGGAGAAGTGAACAGGATGTCTTGTCTCGGGCACTGGGATGCAGACCCAGCAGAGAAACGAGGTTGGCTCGGAGGGGAGCATGCCCCAGACATAATGGCCATGGCCAGAATTTCATCACCATCAATCTTATTAAACAAGAACCTTCACGTTTTAATCTCTACTGTGCAATACACAAAACTGTGTGGATCATCTTGTATTCTGTTTCCAGAGTATGATTTTGGTTTTAGGGTATCCGTTAATACAATTCCAACTAAAGCACTTTAAAAACACGTGCAGCCTTGTTCTCAACTGCAGTGCAAGAAATAGAATATACTTTCTGGAACTAATGTAAGGAATCCCGTTAACGACTTAACGGGCCCTGTGTTTGGAAACCTGTGCCATAGAAATCATCTGTCCTCATAATTATCTTCCATTTATTCTCTGGATGTTGGAAATGCGTTTTGACCCTCTATGACATAGATGCAGTAATCAAATGACTCCTGTCATTTGTAAGCAAACTAAAAACTACACATAGAGACACTAAATTTTAAGAGCTTCCCCCCACTGGGCTTACAGAATTGGAGTATGTTCCTTTCTGTCCGTCCCATCCATAGGTATAGACCCTTCCATCAAATCATGCATGATTCCACCAAGAAAACTTAAGTTTCACATTGTAACAGAGGCACCCACTGAAGGAATTCCTGTAAACATCAGAGAAGATAGATTTGCATGCATTTCGCTGATTTTTGTCTTCATTCCTCTGCCTGAATTCTTATCACACATTTCTTTCTGGGCTCATTTATGTGACCTAAAATAAATTCCATCTCTTCTCATTGGAGAATTTTTATGCAAACATGCATACCAAATACAGTGCCTCGTTTCTACATGATGTAGAATTCCATTCAAAGGCAGGGGGATAATGGGATTTCTGGTGTTCAGGCATTTCTCGTGGACCATATTTTAAAGCAACCACTGGCCAAGGGAGCCTGTCTCTTGGGTGAATGTATATTTTCTTGCTCCTTCCAGGGCTTTGAATGAAACTTGGTATCAATCTAGTGTCAGCATGTCTCAGTTGGAGGGTCTGTTTTGTATCTTTCTCCCATTGTTGCATTGTTGGGGTGGGATGGGGGGAGCTGCCTGATTTACAACCTTCATTGCAGAGACCTTAAATCTCCAAAACCAAGTGTTTCGTCAGCTGAAATGCTCCAAGGAGGTGTAGCCAAGAGTGCTTGTCAGTGAAAGAAGCCATTTGTTTAAAATCTCTGGTTTTAGCCAGCCAAGGGGCTGCTTCTGTTCATTCATCTGCTGCATATATGGGGAATTAAGTCCTCCGCGGTGGGACAGACTTGTAAGGATGCTTCTACCCGCGCTCCGCTTTGGTGATGTGCCTGGCTGTTTCCAAATTGATTATCTGCCCTCACGTTCATAGAATTCCCCGGGAATAAATGCATATACATCTCCTATCTGCATTATATCAAACACCGCATTTCCACCGTCGGAGCAGCGAAGGAATACCGTCTTACAGACAATATGAAATTGTTCCCATTCACTGTATACCTGCAATGGAAACTCTGCCTTGTGGGTTGTTTAAATTACAAGAGAAGGGGGCGGGGAAGTCCCTGGGTGTTGCAGTAAATGAAGATTCTGTAAGCAAGAAACTATGGAAACACCAACTTCAAAAAAAAAAAAAAAAAAAAACCCACGTTCATTTGCTGAAGTTTAGAGATGCATGGAGGGCTGTTTCCCTCAGGACTTTTGGAAGGAATTCAGAATCGCAAAGATCCAGTCTTTCAATAGGAGACTGTTAGGAGAGCTCAGATTCGCCAGGGTATAGAATATTAATTAGCCTGGCATTTGAGAGGTTACAACAGACACGTTTTTGCTCGGGCGGGGCTCCAAGTTGATAAAGGCGGGTGATTTACCGTATGTTGCAAATCCTTGCCGTGCTCCACGGAAACAAAATAAGCAAATAGGTCATTCTGGGAGAGTTGACAAGGGGGTACGGCGGGGAGGGGGTGTGCGGAGAGAGGCAGCAGAGGAAGGATGTGTTAAAGACAGAGCAGTTGTGCCAAAAAATTACTAGAGCCTTTAGGAATTAATCACCTCTTTCCTTAATGGGGAAAGAGAGGCTTGTCTATGGTTATTATACGGCACCCAAACTGCCATTAGGAGCCAGTTTCGTACATAAAGCTGCATGAAAAGGGGCTTTTCTCCCAAGCAGAGGGCAATGCATTTTATGAGAAACTGTGTAAAAGGTTGCACGATGAATGCCAGAGCCAGGCAACATTCACTGGCATGAAACGCTAATTAGTAATTGCTAATTAAATGAGGGAGGGGCTGGTAACGTCGGAACGTTCCCACTAATCACCGCTAATCTCAGCTCGGTCCCTGTGAACGCCGCAGAAGCCTGGATCCGCGGGACGTGCCCTAAATGCACAACCTTGCAGGTTCCATCTTGCGTCTGTCTGCACATAAAAGAGATGGCGAGGCCGATCGTGGCAATTTTAGAAGGTCTCCCCCCACCCCCACCCCACCCCCCCAAAAAAAGCCTTCCCGTTGCTTTATTTGAAACCGGACCCATTCATTTCTGTTACCCGCCCAGCTCACACTGTGCATTTTTCTCAGGTGCCCGGGGAACAAAGAAGCCTCACTTCCTCGGCGGGACAAAGCCTTCGTCCTCTGCTTATTCTGTTTTAGGTTCTACGGGCCCACTCTTGAGAGCTCCTCAGTTTGCTGTCAGCTTCGGGTGGGGGGGGGCGGTTTGATGACCTCGGTTCTGACACCTGTTCTTTTAGGGTCCAAATCTATCCAGGCTCCCATCAGCACTGCAGCAGGTGGTCACAGGAACTTAATCAGCACTAATTGGAATGAGGGGAATGGCTTGGCCCCTGGAAATGCAGGGGGAAGAGGGAACGCGCATCATTGAGGGCTTGGGGGCAGGGGCACGTAACACATTAAAATGCTTAAAACATAATTTTTATGACTTGCACTTTTGGGGGGCGGAGGGTCAGAAGGCTTATGCAAGAAAGAAAGGGATATACGTTGGGTTAATGTCCGTACAATAAATAACGTTGGCAGGGGTTCACAGTCGTCGATCTGAATTTCAGCAAGAGAGCGTCTGTGGACAAAACGACTTCAAACGTCAGAGGGAAGCCTTTTTTCCAGGTCACGATCTTGGTGCCACGTGGAACAGGCAAGGAGTCCGACATCCATGTGGTCCTTTATTCCCATCAATGCCTTTTTTTGCAGACTTTAAGGGGGAATTAAGAATTTGATGCCTTGAGTGAATCTAGCCCCACAAGTTGCAGAATCTTCCTTCTTCTTGAAATAAAACGTACCAGCTCGTCCCGTTTTAGGGACAGTCGGGGGGATTTGAATATATGTGTTGTCATTTGGGTAAGATTAAAGACTTGTGTGTTTCTGCGTGTGAGTCTGAATTTTTTCTGTAGGGGGAAGATAGAGGTGCACGTTAACTAAAACTGGGATCTCATGATACCTGTCGTTCAGTCGAAACTGAAGCATTAAAAGGAATGAAATGAAAACATTAATAAGAAATTAAATGGGAAAAAGTTGACCTATGTTGCTTTTATATACACGCTCAGTCTCCTAAACATCAACACAGAAATTCCAGCAGCCCAACACATACGCTGATTTTTCCTAAAAAACCTCTTTTAGCCTGGAAAACTTCTTTTAGGATTTTCCCTGAAAAACTCCTTTTAGGAGACTTTCTCACTTTTGCAACCTGCATGTGCACAGGAGTGATAAGTTGAATCTGGTCCAATCCATAGTCTCTAGTATGGTCAGGTGTTATAGACATTTTAGACTGATGGTGCCTGATAGGTGAGCCCTGTGCACACTCACAGATGACACATTGTATCATAGGGTCAACATCGCAACAATGATTCCCATAGCCTCATCCTTCCTGCCGTGCAAGTGTTGCTTCTCACTTAGAGGGAGACCCGCAAAGAATGCGATACGTTTTCAAGGACCAGAGATGCTTTTTTCAAGGACCAGGTGCTTTTTATAGTTGACCACCTAAAAGATCCTGTTTTCTCTTGCAGGGTTTTTAAGTACCGGCGACCAGGCAGCCAAAGGCAACTACGGGCTCCTGGATCAGATCCAGGCGCTACGGTGGATTGAGGAGAACGTTGGGGCCTTCGGTGGCGACCCCAAGCGAGTGACCATCTTTGGCTCCGGGGCGGGAGCCTCTTGCGTCAGTCTGTTGACTTTGTCACACTATTCAGAAGGTAATAAGGGCATCCCCGAGCTGGTGCACGACCCCCAGGGCTGAGCCAGGAACACACACGGAGTGCATATCTCAGGGACCCTTTGTCTCTCGTGCAGCTGAAAATCTCCAACTTGTTTAGTTCTAGAAGCTCACTCTCGAGAGCTCCCATCCTCCTTCTCCCTCTCCTCCTCCTCCTTCTTCTCCTTCCTCTTCCTCTTTTTATTTTATAGATTTTATTTATTTATCTGAGAGATAGTGAGAGACAGAGAGAGAAACAAACTTCCCCATGAGCACAGAGCCCTATGCGGTACTCGATCCCAGGACCCCGGGATCATGACCTGAGCCAGAGGCACCCCCATTCTTCTAACTTTCTTTCTTTCCTTGGGAACCATATTTTGTCATCTCAGTTACATTATCAGATGCCAGTTGCAACACTTGGGACAAAATGGGTCTTTCTGAAAGACCAATGCCTTTGCTTTTGCCTTTCCGACTTGACTCGGTCAACTTTAAATTTTATCATTTCGGTCAACGTTAAATTCAGTCAACTTCTCCTCTCAACTTGGGAAAGGTAATACAGAAGAGAAACAGGGATATGGGTAAGGGTTGCAGATTTGTTCATTTGGTAAGCAATGGGGCTCGTACCCATGGGATTTTTTTTTATTATTATTTATTTATTTTTTTTTTTTTTAAGTCACTGGTCTGGGACACCCGGATGGCACAGTCCGTTAAGTGCCTGACTTTTGATCTCGGATCAGGTCATGATCTCAGGGTCCTGTGATCCAAGCCCTGCATTGGGCTCCATGCTGGGCGTGAAGCCTACTTACATGTCTCCCCCTCCATCTTGCTCTGCTACTCCCTCCACTTAAAACAATTTTTTAAAAATTGATTTAATAATAATAATAATAATAAACCTAACCACCCTAACTCAAGGTGGTTCCCTCATGTCCATTGGTAAACTGTAGCACTGAAGGGGAACCTTGAAGCTCATCTACTCCAAAGCCACCATTTACAAAAAGGAAACAGAAGCCCAGAGAGGTTGGTTAACCCACCTAGGATCACACAGCAATGAGAGAGCCCGGCAAGAAACAAAGCTTCCCAGACCCCAGTTCAAACCATCGTTTGAATTCCCATCATTCCCCCAAGGCTAATAAACATCGGGGACGACTAAAGGATAGTCCTGGTCTTCTGTACAGAATAGACTTGCCTTACGGATTCAGGATCATCTGTGCAAATTCCCCATTGCCTCCCCTAGCTGGTATTTTACGGACCAACTGTTTTGCCACTTTAATTTTCCTTAGGAAATAAGCGTTCAGCTCGAGTAGAAATTTTCTCTGGTCACAGGCACCAATGTGACAAGTGGATTTTCAGCGTAGTACGGACATTCAGAACTCACTTGCCAATAAAATGCTCAGTGCAGGGACCATAAGCAACCATCAGTCAAATCAAAGCAGACAGACTTGTAGGTGACTTCATAGCGTCTAAGGAGAGCTCGAATCCGGGGCTCGTACTTGTATCATCCCTTTGTTTTTACAAAAATGAAAAAAAAATGCATAATGGGAGGGGACATTGATAATATCCATTCTTACAGCATTTCAGAAAATATTGGGATTTTCCCATTTGTCAAGGGATAGAATCCCAGATCTCGAGTGAACAAGTAGTCAGGACCGGCTTCCATAATAAACACAAGAAACCAAATGTAATTGGAGAAAGAGCACAATTACTTAAATCGAGCTATCAGAAATGAGCGAGTTCTGTGGCAAGGCTGTGCCTGGGTCAGGGTTCTGCAAAGCAGGTTTTCAGAACAACCCAGCAAGATAGAAATACCCAGTCTGTCAGCCTTAGAATTGTACTTCTAGCCATGTCGTCTAAAAAACAGTCACCACGTGCATGAAAAAGGATGTTTTCGTGAAGACGTTCACCATCGCATTCTAATTTTTTTTAAAGATTTTAATTATTGATTCGACAGGCAGAGATCACACGTAGGTGTGGGGGCGGGGGGAAGCAGGCTCCCTGCTGAGCAGAGAACCCGATGCGGGGCTCGATCTCAGGACCCTAGGATCATGACCTGAGCCTAAGGCAGAGGCTTTAACCCTATGAGCCACCCAGGCGCCCCTCACCATGGCATTAGAGCAAAGACTCAAAGGAAAAGCTCCAAGGTTGAAAAGACAAGAAGGTGATGAAGAACAGGTACATGTGTTCTAAGGAACACTAATGAGCACCAAAAACTGTGGAGCAGGTGTCCAGTTCCCTGAGAAACACAATCAAAGCTGTACATTTGTTGGGCTCAGTCGTATAAAATAGAACGTTGACGCGGGGGAACAGCCAAGTGAGCCGCAATGACCCTAAATTGCAGACCTAACTTGTATTTTCTAGTCTGAATGACGGGTAGCATTTTCCTTTATCCAATTTTTCAAGGGTTATCCGGGATTGTATTCTGTATGTCACACACACGTGCACACACAAACACACACACACACCTCCATCTGTCAAAGCCAATCAGTGTCATAGGAAGAAAAAAAAAGGTAACTTGCAGGAATATTTTTCCTCATCCGGATGATTTTAACTTGTGAAAGTCTTCAATAGATCCAGCGTTGACATCGCTTCTTTCCCGTGTGCCCACACGTGAATCTTGAGGGCTAAACACACACGTCCAGAGCTGTACGTCTCTGGGAACATCACCAGCTCTGGGAGACTGGCCCCCAAATGACTTTGAGGTTGCATTGAGCAAAGCCAGATCCATTTAAGATCTCTTGGGCAATGCTCCAATCTCCAGAATCCTATCTTCCTGATTGCAATTATGTTTTCTCCCCTTGATTGCTTGCATGACCTTAAAACTCTACAGGGCACGACCTTCCAGGCGCCCAGCTGAATTACTCCTCCAGAAACTCCCGAGACGTCGGAGCTCCATCATGCTGGAATTCTAGAAAATGTCAGGAAGAGACAAGAAAGAGAATGCTATCATTTCATACCCCATCATCTCTTGTCCTTTAGTAGTGAAAAATAGAGGGTTTACAAAATTTTTTTTTTTTACTTACTGGCATTCATATACTAGATGGATCTGATAGAAATTTGTAAGCTACACAGAAGTTTACTCATCAAACCGTCCAATTTTTTTTTTTTTTCACTTTTCACCAGACATTTTTTAACTTGTGGCACAATACAAGACAGAAAGGTCTGGGCTTTGAGTTAACGTGATTCCGAGATCAGTGATTTGTAGAAAAATACATTTTGGCTGGGCAATCCCACCGAGCATTCTTTTAGGAATCGCTAATTTAATTACTATTTTAGTTGTAAAAGTTTCACGCCGGTACTGTATTCACGCTGGAATTCGAAATACGTGTCTGAATTTATACTCTGAAATGGATTTCAGTGGATGTTTTGGGTGTTTTTGTTTGTTTGTTTGTTTTGTTTTTGTTTTTTTTTCCCCATAATGCAATGGTACCTGGTTTAGTCAGGGAGGCAAAATGCACTTTGATGTCTTCTTGGCACAGAGCATGTTTTTAAGGAACGGAGGAGATGATAAGTCTGTGGGCTTTATTTACAGCGTCTGGGGATGGGAATGCCAACATGACACGAAACCAGGGACTGATACATGCAATGCACTTTTTTTTTCTTCTTTCTAAACCACGGCAGCAACATTTGCACATTGTAAATGTAGTTTCATTTCCGTAAACGCTGTGCGTGTGTGTGCTGCGTGCGTGAAGACCATCCCATAAAACCGACGTCCAGCAGGCGGGGCCGGGGTGGGGGGAGGGGAAGGGGGAGAGAAAGAGAAAGAGATGGAAATGAGGAAAAAAATCCTGAAAGAGCTGAATGCTACTGTATCCAGAAATTCACATGCCCGCGAGACAATCGGAGCCTTCTTTGCGAAGTAAAAGCTGCTTTTCTGTCTCTGGGGTTTTCATTTGCATGTCTGCAACTTTGCACCTGCAGGTCTGTTCCAGAAGGCCATCATCCAGAGTGGCACGGCCCTGTCCAGCTGGGCGGTGAACTACCAGCCTGCCAAGTACACGCGGATATTGGCAGATAAGGTTGGCTGCAACATGCTGGATACGACCGACATGGTAGAATGTCTTCGGAATAAGAACTACAAAGAACTCATTCAGCAGACGATCACCCCCGCCACGTACCACATTTCCTTCGGCCCCGTCATCGACGGCGACGTCATCCCGGACGACCCTCAGATTCTGATGGAGCAGGGGGAGTTCCTGAACTACGACATCATGCTGGGCGTCAACCAGGGGGAAGGCTTGAAGTTCGTGGACGGCATCGTGGACAACGAGGACGGCGTGACGCCCAACGACTTTGACTTCTCCGTGTCCAACTTTGTGGACAACCTGTATGGCTACCCGGAGGGGAAAGACACGTTGCGGGAGACCATCAAATTCATGTACACGGACTGGGCCGACAAGGAGAACCCGGAGACACGGCGGAAAACCCTGGTGGCTCTCTTCACAGACCACCAGTGGGTGGCCCCCGCCGTGGCCACGGCCGACCTCCACGCCCAGTACGGCTCTCCGACCTACTTCTACGCCTTCTACCACCACTGCCAAAGCGAAATGAAACCCAGCTGGGCAGACTCGGCCCACGGCGATGAAGTGCCCTATGTCTTTGGGATCCCCATGATCGGCCCTACTGAACTCTTCAGCTGTAACTTCTCCAAGAATGATGTCATGCTCAGCGCGGTGGTCATGACCTACTGGACCAACTTTGCCAAAACCGGGTATGTGCTTCCCACGTCAGCTTCTTTCTTCTCTCCTCGTTTGTCTGGGTCCCCCATACGAGTGCGGCTCCCACGAATGAATGCAGACATGCTCACGCGCACACACCCAATAACGGTGGGGGAATTTTACTAGCATGCTCCCTGCATCACTAAAAGAAAAAGGCCTTTTTCCCACCTGCCGCTTCAAGGTGGAGACATACCTGGCAATTCTATTGCTCTCTGATCCCACAATTTCCAGTCTCAGTAGGACCTCTCTCCTTCGACAAGGAGATAAGGACCTGATCTCCCTGGGCAGCCTTATCAAAACCCGTGTGCCGCATGGCAAACTGCTTCTAGTGTACCCACAAGATAAAGCCAATCTCTTAATACATCTAGAAAATACTATGTGCTTGTATATACTCTATATTTAATCAGACATATACATATATACATCTAGACTGATTCTCTGCAGTTATGAGACTTGTTTCCTATACATATACATATATTTACAAATATATTTATTCACTTAAATATGTCCTACACATTTATTTCCTAAAAAGACACATTTCATATATATATGTGTGTGTGTATATATATGTACATATAGGAAATAAATCTATATAAATATATAGAATACACCTAAAATGTACACAAATAGATACATATGTGTATCTATTTGTATATGTGTGTGTATATATATATATATTTGTACATATATAGGGAAGTATAGAAATATATGTCATTTACATATAAAATATATACATAGTATATAAATATGTGTGTGTGTATGTGTGTATATACATATACATAACCTCAGAGGGAAGCTCATTGATTGGTTCAAGTTAGTGGAAACCATACACGGCCCACACATACAACAGTTCCCACTGACGACCCCTTGAGCAGTGTCTCTGCAAACAAGGAGACAGAAAGACTCCCCAACATTTCAAATAGCAGCAAACCTCACATCATCTTTTCATTTTTCTCTTGTCTAATAACACGATTGTGGAAACTAATGGGCTGTCATTCTCCTCTCCTGCCGTCTCTGCTTCCCTCATTAACTTTGAGCCTCGTGCACGGAATTCACCTCGGAGATGCCCACAGCTCCGAGGGTTGGAGGCGGTCCCTGTGGCGTGCCTGGTGTCGCGCTGGGGCTCCCAGCCAGTGGCAGCCCCACAGTGCCCGAGCCCTACGCAGCTGGAGACACAAGCTGTGGGGACACCATAGGCGTCCATGCTTACTTAGGGTTCCAGTGGGTGTCATTCTTTACGGAGACCCCCATATTCCTGGGCGGCAAGCGGTTCCAGAATATTTTGTGGTCTTAGCAAAAGTACGGTGTGCTTATAGAGTGGCAAGTGTGTGGCATGGATACACACTTGGAACTGTCAGATGTGACAAGTTTGGTCTAAGAAAGGCTCGTTTGGGTGCGGGGGGACCAGAGGATGCATGGACCTTTGGGAAACTTGCTGGTCTGTCACCTGAAAATTCTCTCTTTGACAAGGACATGATTGAGGTCACGTCCACAAGCATTTTTATACCATCCTTGTTTTGCATTATTGTACCATTCCTGTGGCTCCTAAAACAGGGTACTACAGACGGTGTCGATTAAAACCACAGAAATATCTTGCCTCAGAGTTTGGGTGCTGGAAGTCTGAAATGCAGGTGTTGGCAGAGCCAGGCTTCCTCTAAAACCTCTACAGGAAGGTTTCACACTACTTCCTAGCTGCTGCTGCTTGGCAGGTGTCTTTGGCGTTGCTGTCCAGTGACACCCTTCCAATTCCTGCATCTGCCTCCCAGGCCAGGCCCCCTGTGTCTCTCTGTCTTTACATGCCCCTCTTTTTAACAGGGCATCAGTCAGATTGGCTCTTAGAAGTCCCACTTTCTCCATCCCATCTTGACTGATGCCATCTGCATTGGCCCTATTTCCAAATAAGGCCACATTCTAAGGGACTGGGGGTGAGCATTTCAGCCTGTGTTGATGTCAAGGGGGAACACATCAAACATCAGCCCTGTGAAAGGCAGTATGATGCCCGGTTGTGTCATTGAACTCAGGTATGGGATGCCTTTCTTAGCAAAGTGTCACATTCTTGAAGCAGAAAGCCTCACAGGGCCACTTCCCAAATGGTGGCCAGCCCATTCACGGACACTGGCGTCCACACATAGCACTCTTTACGACATACCTAAACACACTGCCATTGCCTACCTTGGTTAAAACCACATACTTTTTTTCCTTACGTGTTTGGAGATGAACTTCTTGTGATTTTCTTAAACGGGAAGCAAGGATCATTCATCACCCGTGTAACTGAACCATTAAAAAACTGGTAAAATCCAAACAAAGCCATTAAATTCTCATTAGAAACTCTCGCCTTGCCAAAGGCTCTGAGGCCAATGCTCTTGCGCTGTTTAAAAAAGAAAGAGAAAAAGATAAAAGGAAATTAATTAATGTCATGAGATGGGAAAGAGCTCCTACCACCCAATGGACCTTTTCACCAAGACCTATCAAAGACGGAGCCAGGATTAAAAAACACCACAACATTCCATGATTGCGTGCTATTTTTAATGACCTCCATGCTCAAGATTCTACTGGACGCTGGTCCCCAAATTTCAAGTCTCTGTGCCTAGCACCTTATTGGGAACTAGGGTCATTCATTGCAGATGGAATCAGTCAAGACAGCATGGGGCAGGTGGGACTTCTAAGCCAATCTGTCCGATACGTTGATAAGATGGCCATCCAAAGATAGAGACACGTAGGCAGGTTGCCACAGAATGTCCTGTGTGGGAGTATCTCGCCATCTGTCCATCACAACACGTTGCTATGGGGGAGATGAGGACATGGCGTCAGGACACACATCCCCATTTTTATTTGGTGTTTCTTCCAATCTTCTGCACCTTCCAGACACCACGCATGTTCCTTAGTGCTCACACGTCAGACCAGGCAAGTGTATGCTGGTGTCACTTGTTGTACAACCCAAAACTCATGGCTGTGACTTTCTGTCTGGGTTTTAATGTCTACATTCCATGGTCTGTTTGTCGTTAAGCACAGAAGAGTTGTGTTGGGAGTATGAGCATAGGAGGGATAGAGGAAGGAGAGAGGAGAGTTCCTTAGAGCTAAGAGGCTGTTTCTGTGATCTGGGTTAGAAGACTCACCCAAAACAGGGCTGGAAAAATAACAGCCTAGGTCAAGACAGGTAATAGTCTACAAATATAGCTGATGTGGAAAGTTCTGATCAAAGAGAAGTAAAAAACTAAAATGAATTCCAAGGTTTACAGAGTATGAGGAAGAAGTGCCCTCTGTGTCATCTACAGTCTCTTTGGGAACACGAGACCCAACCGGTCCATAGAATCCAGGTACTCATGGACCAAACACTGATTTGGTTTGCGTCCTGTGTGGGACGTGCCAATAAAGGGGACACCAAGGGAGACTTGATCTCTATAGAACACATTGCAACAAATAGTGCTTGGGGCAACCAGATGAAGCCTTGTCCATCAAAGGTCTTACTGAAATGGTATCAGAGTTGAGAGAATGGAAAGATGGTTCTGGCATGACCAAGGCAACTAACACAGATTTCAATTCTTGGATTTGTTCTCAGGACATCGGTGTCGGTCTGCTTCACAGACCATGACTTTCAATTTTGTTGGTTATCCTGGGATGAATTTGTATTCAACCTAAAGCGAGAGGCACTTAGGGTGGATGGCTTAGGGAGAGCTGCAGCCTACATCTGGTCTTGAAATGACCTTTCCTGCCAAAACACAATTTAAGCTGAATGAAGGAACATCTCCACTTGGTGTGTAGGAGGACATGTATCATCGGACCCATTTTCTTGGTGTGTAATGGGTGGTCTTCTTCTGAGGGGTCTAGTAACAGAGAGTCAGCTACCACATTATGTTAGGTGGAAGGGAGACCTTCCACCATCAAGAAGAGCCTCTCAGAGAGCTTACCGCTATTTTTAAAGAAATCATATTGCCTATCTCTAGCAAATAAAATGGATCACAAGAGCTTAGAAATGCACTTGACTATTCCCTACCAGAAGGATGTCCCCAATGATGACAGTTTAAAATGTGTTTCAGGTGCTGGGAAATGGAGATACAGGTATATGCATTGGGGATTTTACTAGGGAGAGAAGATACATCTGTTTCATTCTGTTCTTAATCATTATGATCTTTAATTTTACTTATGGAAATTAAAACATGCCGCTGGTGGAAGTCAGGTCTAAAAGGCAAGACATTCATATCCCACTTAGAGGTCTTGCTGTGTTCGGAGAATTTGACAAGGAAAATGATGGACTTTCCTGAGCTCTGTGAGTTTATGTTGGGTTAAGGGGTCTGACTGTGCATCTCCCAAGAACTTTAATAGATAGATTGTATCAGGCTAAAGATTACTTATCTGGATTTTCAAAATCCTCTGCTCTATTCTTTGAGAACAAAATAAATGTGTTTCTTTACCTTTCAAATGCACACCGAATTTCATCAAAAATAGTCCAATATCCAACATGAACAGAACGCTCTCTTTCCTAGATGCCCCCTGCTTAATAAAAGGTCCACACAGCTAATAGACCCAATTCAGTGAAATCAGATCGATGGGAAAATAGTAGGAATCCTCACCACCTTTCTTTGCTTTTAGAACAATAAAAATCAATAACAAATGTTTCCATGGCAGATTCCAATTAAACAGTAATTTTTTTCAAAAATTTATTCCAGAAGACTCAAAAAAAGGAAACATGAGGTGCTCTATGGAAGCAAACATTTTTATGAAACACTGTAAGAGTTTTAAAGAGATAAAAAATTTATTTTTAAATCTATTAATGCTTATAAATGAACACATACATAAGACAACTCATGACATGGGGACTTATAATTTTGTTTTATTTTCTTAATCCCATTAGTAAAATAAAAGCACTGCAGTGAGTGTGTCTTCAGTTAAAAGGTAAAATTTCTTTTCCTGTATTCCACATTTATAATTATACCTATATATCATATATAGATATCTACATATATAGTACATTTTATGCAGTATATACTATGGTATATAAAATACATTCATACAGTATATATTGTACTATACAACTACCATATACTTTTATACAGTATATACTGTATGTAATATATGGTATACCAGACATACTGTGGGACAGAATATATACTATATGTGCTGTATAACATACAGTATATACTGTGGTATATACTGTGGTATACAATACATGCTATCTATAGTACATGGTATACTATGGTGTAAGTATAATTGTATACAATGTATACTATAGATAGTATATATGCTGCGATATACAATCAAGACTATGTACAGTATATAGTATGCCATATAAACTATAGTACACAGTGTATACTATTCACAGTATATAAGATACTGTGGCATACAGTATACTTTTATACAATGTATACTATAGACAGTATATAATATACTGCATATGCTATTGTTTATAGCATATGCAATATAAAAATACAGTATACCATTCAATAAATATTATGTATAGTATACCACATATACTCTGGTGTACAGTACACTTTTATCAATGTATACTATAGACAGTATATCTATATTATATATGCTATGATTTATAAATACACAATATACAAATACAATATACCATATATACTATGGTACACAGTAAGTACTATGTAGAGTATACAGTGAACCTCATATACTGTGGTGTATAGTATGCTTTTACACAATGTATTCTATAGATAGTATATGATATACTGCCAATGCTATGATTCGTAATATATGCAATATACAAACACAGTATACTGTATAAACTGGTGTACAGTCAGTATCATGTGCTGTGTATAGTATAAAATATATATTGTGGTATACAGTGTAGTTTGATACAATGTATACTATAGACAATATATAGTAGATTGCGTATGCTATGATTTATAATACAATACAAATCAGTATACTGTATATACTTTGGTATACAGTAAATATATGCAGTGCATAGTATACCGTATATACTGTGGCATGAAGTGAATACCATGTACAGTATATCATGTACCTAACATACTGTATATGCTATGATTCATAATATATGCAATATACAAATACAGTATACTATATATACTGTGTATACAGTCAGTAACATGTGCTGTGTATAGTATTCCATATATCTTGTGGTATACACTATAGTTTGACACAATGTATACAATAGACAGTATATAATAGGTTGTATAGGCTATGATTTACAATATAATGCAAATCAGTATACTATATATACCTTGGTATACATTAAGTACTATGCACAGTATACTGTGTATCTAATATACTATGTATATGCTATGATTTATAATATATGCAATATACAAATATAGTATGCCATATATACTGTGGTAAACAGTAAATATGTGCAGTGTGTAGTATCCCATATGTACCGTGGCAGGCAGTAAATACTATGCACAGTATACCATGTCCCTAACACACTGTATATGCTACGATTTGTAATATATGCAATATACAAAGATAGTATACCATATATAATATCATATATCATGTGCACTGTATATAGTATGCTGGATATACTGTGGTATACAGTAAATATGCACAGTGTATAGTATACCATATATACTGTGGTATACAGTAATATGCACATATTTATAGTATACCGTATATATTGCAGTATATAGTAAATATGCACAGTGTATAGTATACCATATTTACTGTAATATACAGTAAATGCCATGAACATTTTATAGTATACCATATATACTGGTATACAGTATCCACAGTGTATAGTGTACCGTATATACTGTGTACACAGTAAATATGCACAGTGTTTAGTATACCGTAAATACTATAGTATACAGTAAATATCTGAAGTGTATAGTATACGGTATATACTATGGTATCCAGTAAATATGCACAGTGTATAGTATACCGTATATACTCTGGTACACAGTAAATACCATGCACAGTGTATAGTATACCGTATATACTGTGGTATAAAGTACACTTTCATCTGGCAAGCACTATATACAGGATATAGTATACGGTGTGTGCTGTGGGTATTACAGTATAATACTTTATAGTCCTCTGTCCCTAAGCAATTTTTAGATATTCCACTTTACATATCAGCAGAAGGGGACAATATTTATTAAGCTGTCCCTATTTGCCCCACACTTTGTAGTGATTCCTTAACCTCCATCACTTACTTCCAATCACAGTATTCTCACCCATTCTATAGATGAAGACAACGAGCCCCAGGGAGGCTTACGAGTTTGCTCACGATTTCACACCTGTAAAGGGGGACAGCTGCAGAGCTTAATGCATGGAAATGCTTTTGACAACTTCATACTGAGGGCAAAGGTCCCTCCCTTAGCAGACGCTGCCCCCGTTGGTCTCTCTATTGTTTGCATCCCGCACAAGGCAGGGTCATGTGTGTGGACTTGGGGTCTTCAGGGAGGACCTTTGGGTCCCGCAGTCTTCTGCAATGTGAGCTGAGAGGCAGTGGCTGGATGTGGGTTTATAAATGGTGCCAAGAAACAGGGCAAGCAACATGGGCATGCCAGTCCCAGCTTGTCCTGGCCCCTCCGTGATGTCGGAACGCCCAGGGCTGTCCACCACGTGACATTGTGCTGTGTATAACCTCAACGTTCTCAAAACAAGTAAACATTAAGATGAAGTACGTTTTTATACTTCGCTGGACCAACCCTGAAAATAAATGGAAGAAAGGAGAATACGATATGTTGGGGAGGTTGGTTGTTATATTAAGAAAATTGGTGGCAAAGATGCTTCAAGTACCACGTGCTGTGCATTATTCTTTAATTTTGATGATTCTCTCTCTGCCTGGGCTCACTTATGTGAACAATAGGAAAAAAAAATCTCAGGTTCTAAAGTTGGCCTGGTGCACTTACCGTCTGCAGAACCCCTCAGTTTCTGGCACCGAGTGTTACTTCTCTTACACACGTTAACCTCGCCGTATCTAAAAGTGTGATCTTATCAAGATGCTTAGAACTAATGGAATATGGTTTGATCTCGACATGGCTCAGTCTTCAACAGGTTCTCAAGTATATGAGTATCCCTCTTTCAGACAGAGAGCAAACACATGACGTCTATTACTACTACTGACTCACATTTTGCAATCATAAAGCCTGTTTTTATTTGACTTTTAACATACATTTTACTTATTCAGCCTCCAATGTCTATTCATCTACTGCAGATGCCACTCTTGAGCAAGAAAGGGGATGCCTACTTTTTGAACAATGGCCTCCAAGTCAGGATTTCTGAACCTCAATACTATTGACATTTGTGACAAGAGACTTCCTTGTGAGGGGGGGCTCTTGGGCACGGAAGAATGTTGAACAGTGCCCCCAAACCCTCCACGCATTCATGACACTTCTCTCCACCCATGATGACCAAACATGTCTCCAGACATTGCCAAATGTCCCTGTGTGGGGGGAAAAAATTGGTTCAGATTTATGGCCCAAAAGTACCTACACTTAAAATCCTATAAAACTTCCTACACCCATTTTTTTTTTCACCTTTTCCTGGTTGAAGAGCATTTAATCTTCTCAAAAAATAGTACAGATGTTAGGGAAATGCCGTACGTCCGCCATCAGGAATGATGTTTAACATCAAGGGAAGGGAGAGGATGTTAATGAGAACATAAAATGGTGAGTGTGCGTGGATTACAGTCGAATGAGTCTGTGGCTTCTCGGGTCCCTGGCGCTCATCGGTAAACAGGTGTGGTTTCCTGGTTGTCATTCGCTGTGGTATTTGATGAGGAGGTTGACTTGTCCTGTGTAGAAGAGTGTGACCTTTCTCTTGTCTTCTCTCTTCTGTCCCCAGTGACCCGAACCAGCCTGTTCCTCAGGATACCAAGTTCATTCACACAAAACCCAATCGCTTCGAGGAAGTGGCGTGGTCCAAGTATAACCCCAAAGACCAGCTCTATCTTCATATTGGCCTAAAGCCCAGAGTGAGGGATCACTACCGGGCTACTAAGGTGGCTTTCTGGCTTGAACTAGTTCCCCACCTGCACAACCTCAATGAGATCTTCCAGTATGTGTCCACGACCACCAAGGTCCCTCCTCCCGACATGACTTCGTTCCCCTATGGCACCCGGCGGTCTCCCGCCAAGATCTGGCCCACCACCAAACGCCCAGCCATCACTCCCGCCAACAACCCCAAACACTCCAAGGACCCTCACAAGACAGGGCCCGAGGACACCACCGTCCTCATCGAAACCAAACGGGATTACTCCACCGAACTCAGTGTCACCATCGCCGTGGGGGCCTCCCTGCTCTTCCTCAACATCCTGGCCTTTGCGGCTCTGTACTACAAGAAGGACAAGAGGCGCCACGAGACGCACAGGCGCCCCAGTCCCCAGAGAAACACAACCAACGACATCGCTCACATCCAGAATGAGGAGATCATGTCGCTGCAGATGAAGCAGTTGGAGCACGACCATGAGTGTGAGTCCCTTCAGGCTCACGACACGCTGAGGCTCACCTGTCCCCCGGACTACACCCTGACCCTGCGCCGGTCTCCGGACGACATCCCACTCATGACACCAAACACCATCACCATGATTCCCAACACACTGACGGGCATGCAGCCATTGCACACGTTCAACACCTTCAGCGGAGGACAAAACAGTACAAATCTCCCCCACGGACACTCGACCACTCGGGTATAGCTTTGCGGTTCCCTTCCCCGCCCTCGGCTCCTCCCCACCGGAGAGAGGGAGAAAGAGAGAAGCAACATCTCCCTGCGAGGAATGTCTGTCATCCCACTGACTTAGGACAGAAACAACCACCATCACCACAACAACAGAAATGCCGCGGGGCCGCCATCGTGCGTGTCCCCCGCGGACCCATCCCACTAGCATTTCCCAGTATTACGACATCAACTTCTGACCCTGAGAAATGTGAAAACGATTTCATCGCCGTTCCAGGACTGCGTCAACATCCCCATCTCTCCAGCCAACGTTCAGCGTGATGAGGACATCGCCCTCTCAAGGACCTGGGTGTTTCCAATGCAACGAGAGAAGCTGACCCTTTGGGAACTCAGCCAGGGACACTTAAAAAAGAAAAATAAAAATTTTTTTAATTACAATGGAAAAACAAAACAGAACACAAAGTTCTTTATGTGCCATATGATGGATGGCTCTACGGAAGGATTGAAAGACGGTGGGCTTTTACCCTGCCTATGGAGCTGTGATCCAGAGAGAAGGAGAAGCAGAATTTTCCTATTGAAAGAGCAGACTCTGTAGTAACATACCTATAGTTCTGTGCAAACCTGTTTTGCCAGCCTGAACTATATTTAAGAAACTTTGTAAAAAAAAAAAAAAAAAAAGGAAAAAAATTGTATATAGCTGTGAGTTTAAACAAAAACGCACACAGAGGGTAAAACAAAAACAAAAACAAAAACAAAAACAAAAAAACAGCAACAACAAACCAACCAACAAAAAAAAGCTTTTATTGGTGTTTTCTGTTTGAAAGAGCTTTTACCGACATTGTGCTTTTCATTGTGGTCTGTATGTATATATATATAAATATACACATTAGTCATTCACCTCTGTTTCCTCCCGGACGCAGGACGATTTTCTTCTTAGTTCCTTGCGGTGAGCCAAGACGCGGGGCTTTCTAACGCGTTTCCTTTGCAGGAGGACGTGGGGACGTGCATCGGACCCAGACTGTCTGCGCGGTGGGGCTTTTTTCCCCTCTGCGGGGTTGCACAGATGCATGCAACAGCGTTCTTAGGAGACTGCTGGTTGGACGCCACTTTTATTTTCGGGTGTGTGTGTGTGAGCCTTGCTAAAGTTGCAACGCCGGGACGGATCCCCCGCGTGGAGTGTATTAAAACCTGCTGAATGAGAAAACACGCACGCCCAGAGCGCCGGCAGGAGAAACAAAACACAGATCTTGGTCTGTCGTTGGGGTCCTTTGAATATGTTGAGGGAGAGTCGCGAAAAGGAAAGTTGCCAAAAGGGAAAGAAAGCTTGCCTTTGGTGGGGCCGTGCCCTGCCGGGTAAATACGGCTCAGTGTTCCCCCGCAGCTGCAGAAGGCTTTTGTTTAAGCAGTAAGTCCCTTATTTATCAGTGAGCAAGATTTTTTTTTAAAATTCTTTCTATCATTTATCGGATAAAACATACGCTTGTCCGAAAGACCTGCCTTTCGTGGGCTTGTGTGTCACTCACAGATCCGTGAATATGGCAGGAGAGGAGACAAACCCACAGGAAAGGGTAGAACATTGGAAGTCCTCTGCATGAGTTTCCCAGGGGGACTTAGGATAGCTTTCCCCGTCCAGGTAAGAAGTGCAGGTTCCTCACCCATTTTTGATGGGCAAGCTGGGGACCGGAGATCGGCCCTCCGACACCTTCCCATGTTCCCACTGTCCTTTCAATTCCCCTGAAGGCATGCTTTGAGTGTCCCAAAGCGGAAGGGACAGATAGCCGTGGCGACTCTCATCTGCCTTTCAAGAATTATCGCAACATTGGGAATTAGTAGCCAAAGATATTTGAAAATACTGTCTCGAAGGGGGCTGTGTTGGACACCCAGGCTTCAAAGTCCTTGCTGAGTTGGGGTTGCTCCACAAATACAGCCCAAGGTCCTTTTGTCCCCTGACCCGGCACAACCTTTGCAAACGGACCCCCCCTCCACGAACACGGTAGTGACCTCCACCGAAGCGTTCAAAGACGCCCTCTAGAAAAAGGCAGTCCTTAGACATGCCTACGAGGGACACCACCCAACCTGCCATTTCTCTGGGTTTAAATCCAAAGAGGGGTGGTTCTCTGTACATACGCGTACGTGAACTCTCTGAATCCCGACTTTGCACACGGTGAAACCACACTCCTTTCCTGCAGCGAGGGGTCTCCCGGATACGAGTTCTGTCCCCAGGTTCCTCACTTTCTGAAGCTATCGTCAGGTCATTTTCTGCAAGATCCGTATCCCCCCTCCCTCCCCCAGCTGGGTACGGCAGGTAGGCTCTCCGTGAACCGACGTGGGAAGTGATGCTTCGCATCCGTGTGGGTCCGGTATGTTTGTAATGTGAATTCCAATATTTGTTTAGTATTTCCAACTGTCTTCTGCTAGCAATATGCACACTAATGTGTCAGGCTTGTGACATTTGGATAAGGAAAAAAAAAAAAAGAGTTCTTGTTAAGTGAATAACTTTAGCTTTTACAGAGGATATGATCAAAAGAAATTTAATACATCTTAAGGGATATCTTATTTCTACATGGAAAGAAGTTATAGAATCTTCATAGAGTTCTATGAGAATAAAATATACTTGCTATCTATAAAAAAGTGAAAAAAGAGGAAAAAAATGAGAAAAAAAAAAGTAAAAAAAAAAAACCCACACAAAAAAAAGAACCTTTCCTAGGCTTTTATTCTTGACTTTCACAGGCACGCAGGGTTTAATGGTTTCTTGGGTTATTATTTTGCAATTTTGTTTTTGATTTTGCCTTAAGTAATGATAGAAGATATATATGGCTGGACACATATGTATAAACTTTTCAGCAGCATTTTTAATAATAAAATATCACAGTATTTTCTAATGCTTTGTGCAAATAATTGTGCGTCCGTTCTTTTGTTGTAGGTGGTCTGTTTTATTGACTTTTTCTTTTCCCCCCTCCGACTGCCCTTTCCATCTTCAGAGCTCAGTGGTTCACCAGACAGAGGTGGACCCATGCCACCGGTAGTGGATGGGCTTCATGCTGTGTCTCCCATGCACGATGTTTGTGTCATCATGGGGGACGTCCTGCCTGACTCTGGAGGGCCAAGGAAATCCTGCACGAGGATGCTGATGTTTCCCAAACATTTCTGCATGGCAACACTGGGATCCATGACGTCTCCCACTGCCCGTTCATTCCCCTGGCACTGGGTTTGGCATTCCAGGAGACCTCATCAGGCCCTACAAGCTTTCCAACAGCCCCCGTTGAGTAAATCTTGCAGGGACAGAAATTCAGAGTAAATCTCCAGAGGCAGAAAATCTCCACCATGCCAGGGAGAGCAAATTTGCCAAGTGCTCCCCACGCATCTGGCCATCTCCTATCCCCTTTACCCATCCCGAGAGCCCCCAGGGACAGGCACCTGTGTTACCCCTTTCTGAAAGCGGAGGGAGTTGAGAGTCAGAAACGTTCAGCCGCTCAGCAGCTGAACTTGGGTTCAAAGGGACATGGTGGGCTTCCAAGCCCAATCTCCACCAATAAGACAGCAGGAATCCCTACCCCACAGGCAGGCGTGGCATCACGAATTAGCCAATTATCACATAATTGATAATTTATGACATAAAGAACCCCAGCAAATCTGTGACTGTTTGAACTCGGAATACTTTTATATATGGATTCAGGCCATTTGTTGTGTGAGGCAAACAGGATATGGACATTACATGTCATATATATTAATATCATTTTAATAATATATTCATTAATGAAATTAATGGAATTAATGATATAGTTCCTATTATCTATTATAGTGTATATAATAATATAGAAGCATACTCTAATAAAATATGTGTATAATAAATAAGTATATTCAATATGAAAACTGATATTAATACCATTTAAATAATATATCATTATTAATGGAATTGATATATTTCCTATTATATATTATTATAATGCATATAATAATATAATATAGAATCATATTCTTTATAAAATATGTGTATAATATATAAGTATATTTCATATAACATGAAAACTGATTATATTATTTATAATTATAAAAAGTAAGATATATGACTTATTAGATTTAAACTATATCAAACAAATTTTATATTTAATATATATTATAAGTTTATTTAATATATACATAAAATATATCATATAACATAATCTGTAATGTATATAGTTTATATGTAATTATATAATATATATTATAATACATAATATATAAATGAAATAAATATGTAAATAATATAAATTATACTTTATAGAAATACATTATATAAATTATAGTTTATATAATTTTACCTTTTATATATTATATATTCTATAATATATAAACATATATAAGTCATATATAAATTATCTATAGATTAGATATATTGTATGTGAGTATATAAATATATTATTTATATATTTTATAGAAATAAACAAAATACATATTTTACATATTGTATAGAAATTTTATATATGTAAATATATAATATATATATTTCTATAGAATATATAAAATACGTATTTTATGTATATACACGTTTGTATATTTATATACATATTTTTTATGTGGCACATATGTATACACTACATGTATTATACATGTGAATATATATTGTCACGTATATATGTATATATAATATACAGAATGGAAATGCCATTTGCATGGATTCAAAATTGAAAAAAAATTAAAAAGTTAAAATAGGAATGAATCTTTAGCGAGTCTTAGGTAGAGGAAGTCGCTGTTTTTCCACCGTTGGATGCATTCTAGACCGTTCTAACTCGGAAAGTGCTAAAAATGTGTGCATTCCCTCATTCAACTGACTCCCTCGGTCATTTATTCAGCCAACAAACCTTTACCCAGCATGACCATCCTCCCAGGTTGGAAACTCTCTTTCCATCCTGCAACCCGGCATGGAAGACGGAAGTACGGGGACCCCGTGTCTCCAAGTTTAAGTGCGGGTCCATGGGACTCAACAGGGATGTCGAGGACTCAGGGAGGTCAGCCGTACACCTTGGGACTGAGAAGACGGGACATTTGGGGAACCATAGCTTTGTGGTCATAGCTGGAGAGGAGACGGTGTGTCCGGGAA